TAAAAATAAAGTTACTTGGGTGTACGAGTTTTTATCAAATAAGTAAAAAAAAATCTCAAAATGTATGAAACAGTTATTATTACATGTTCATAAATTATATACATTTATTTTACCTATATATCTTTTATATATTTGTATTTTATGTTAATTCTGACTGATAGGTAGATAGGTGCTMCTATTTTTTTGTTTTTGACATATTATTTAAATATAACCATAATAATGGTGATTTATTAAAACTTTATAAATATTGTAAATATTTTGGGAATTTTGATGAGTAGGTACCAGTATWAATTCCACGTTTTTTTTATTTATTTTGTTATAAATTCTATAGACCATACCATTCCACCAATCTAAAAAAATATRTTCGCAAGTTTTTTTTTAACAAAATACGAATTTATATATTACTTGTTCAAACATAAAAAATATTGAGTTTCGTCTATTTTATGAACATTTTTCAAATAAAACAGGTAATAAATAAGGATTATATAAGAACATCTGTGCGTAATACGTTAAGCTAGACTATATGCATGTAATATTATACTGCAGAAGCGTACACCTTTCATAATATATATTAAATACTTAAGACATTTTTAGTTGACTGTTTAAGTGGATGTTACCGTCTTTTTCTAAATTTGCCAGCAACATGCCCTCCGAAGCTACTTTTGTTCCAGCTATTTCTGTAAGCAGCGCACAAGCAGCTGCTGTTTGTCTGGCCATTGGATCCGACAAAGGAGATTCTAAAACAGGATCGATTGGTTCCAACGTGGTCATCATATGAAACATGAGGCAAGTTTTCGGGTCGTCTACTTCGACCATATTTAGAGTGTTGTTTTTGTTTGGACTTGGCGTCGTAGGGAGCTAGAATAGCATACACGCCGTATAAGTGACAACATATTTAAATGGCCGTTGAATTACTTATAAGCAAAGTTGCACGTACGTTGACCCCGTCGGGTAGGAATCGGTCCAAATAAGCGATTGGTATGATAAAACAGTCTTTATCCATATTGGCAATACTTGCCGAATCGACTTTTCTGACATGGAGCGTACTATGACCATTTGCGCCAGTAGGATTATTCAGTGTAGAATACGAGCCATGGCGACCTCTGCAATTCTGAAAGTGGTATAATTTATAGACGGACATTTTCCTTTTTCTTTACTAACAAAATAATAATTACGAAAGTGAATTTCTATTTGGATAAAAAAAAAAAACGAGAAAATAGAGGGTACGAAAATTACCATCATAATCTAGACGAGTATCAGGAAAATACAGGACAGACATACACTTATTGAACCACCGTCTAAATATAGTGTATAAAAAGTAAGAACCGTAACGACTGTTTATTTTTTTTTTTTGCAACGGACTGCCATTTGATTATGCAAATTATAACGTCGGAGTTATTTTATTAGAAAATCTAGAAGAATTTATAGGTATCGTATAAATCGTTATATAAGATTGGAGAAGCTTACCAGTAGCGTAAATTGATTATTTTTTCTTAATACATTATTTAGCAGCATAATAAAAATATAATTGGCAATCATTATTTGATTAATTTTTGAGTCATCTTAATAAAAAAATCACCGAAATTCTCGTTGTCAAGTAATTTRTTATACTTTGATGTCTTAAGAATTGGAAAAGTATCTCGTCAAGTCCAATGTCTCTATTATGTTGGCTCATCATATTATGCAGGTAATAATTGACGAACGACCACCTAATGTGTGTAGACATTTTAATCGTTAATTGTTTCCGCGTTCGCCATCACTACCACATCGACCGACACAGACAAACATAATATTTTTTATTTTTGTATAAATCGTGTCATTGTGAATTATTATCAAATAATAATATATTACGTAGATTAAAGCGCGTTATCGGACGCCATCGCGCCGGCTACCCGAATGTCTTATTAGCTCAAGATGTCCARTTCACTACATCAAGGCGAAAAAAAAAACGTGTACGTGCGTAATTCGCTTTTCTTGAATATAATATTATACATGCATTGTGTGGTGAATGCTAATCGCCTCATTTTTTATAATATTATTGTTGCTGGGCGCCAATCACCGCTAATAATATTGTTACGCGAACGGGCGCGTGTATTTTTATATTATTATATTTTATGTTGTAATAATATTGTTATAGCATAGGTCTGTCTGCGCTCCACAAGCTGTGAGTTATTTTGTTACCAATATTGTCGAGCCAGAAGGGCCGCGTTATATTATTGTTCTGTTGGGCCAGGCGGAGCGCCAAAGTTATTGTAATAGTTTTCTATCTTTGATCGAGTATATAGGCCATATTTTATACTTAAGACTTGAGAATATTACAGCTCAGATAGCTGACTTGTGTGTTCATAATATTATATTGTTGGGCCAGTTGGTTTGTATCGTCAAAACTTAACCGTCGTATATTTTATACATTTGTGTTGCCGTGACTTATGATCAATTTAAACAATACGGCCCTCATGCAGGCTCTACAATATAATAGTAAAAAATAAAAAGCAGATATCTGAGCTGTAATTCTTAACTCTTCAGTAATAAATATTGACTACTCTGGCTCGAAGATAGAAAAATAATATATATAAAAACTTTGGCCCYCCTGGCCCATTATAATATGTATATAACGCGGCCCTACACTGTAGGCTCGACGATATAATTCAAAAATAATAATAAAATAACTCAAAGCTTGTGGATGAGCGTAGACTGACCAGCTGGTCCTCTGCCTATGCTATAATGATTGTTAAAACAACACGAAATATAATAATTTAAAAATACACGCCCGCGYGACCGTTGGCACAATAATATTAGCGACGATTTGCGCCTAGCAATAATGATATCATAAAAAAGTGGTGATTTGCGCCCACGACACAATTATAATATAATATTAAATACATTTAAGAAGAGCGATTTTTGCACGTGCACATTTCGTTTTCGCTTTTAATCGATGTAGTGAACTGGACATCTTTTGCGGCCGTGCTAATAAAATATTCGCGCAGACGGCGCGGCGATGTGTGACAACGCGCTCCATAATATTTTATTATATAATAATGGTTCACAGTGACACAATTTATACAAAAATAACGAATATWATGTGTGTGACTGTAATAATTTGTAAAACGTACTCGTACAACAACGTACAATGTACCACTATCATGGCTGTCATGTTCATATTATATTAAATAAGGACCATTGACCATAAAACGTCCGTTAACCGTTATGGTTTCCCGCATTTAACGCGTAAATAAATATTATCATAAAATACACTTGGTTGTCGCTGCAGTTACTACAAGAGTGCACCGCAGACCCGGTTTTCTAGAGGTATAACATATACCTAACAGGAATTTATTGAGAAAATTTTAGAATTTAAAATATCATCAAGTATAATATACTTTACTATTTAAATACTAAATCAAAGTACCTAACTTACTTGTAGTTTCGTGCTAGTATACCAATATGAAATATTAATAATGGTTTATGTAGTTATGCGATAAAATTGGTAACCTGTAGTTTTCAGCGAAAGAACCATACCCAGGTCGTCATAAATAATAAACTAAAATATATGTATATACACTATACACTGTACACTGCAATACAGAGAACAATATATTATTTCGCTGTTTTTTTTAAACTTTTTTGGTATTATTAATACCAAAGAGCTTTTTAAGTTTCAAACATATAGAAACTAATGTAATTTATCAATAGCATTTTTTAAAAATTATTATTAATAACGATATCAACAAAATAAAAACAGCAAAATATAAATGTGTGTGTCGTGTACAATGTACACTGTACATATTACAACTATATTAATTGCAGCTTGTGTGGGGCTTTTTATTGGTCGAAATCACGATTTTTATAAATAATTTACGATGGATGGCGTCGTCTTAAATAGGTATTATACGAAAAAACGCCGAACCTTGTCAATTGGATTGTTGCTGACCGAGCTGCAGGTCGCGCTCGCACTGGTCCCCGTGGCGTTTGTAAACTGTGGCGTGTTGGTGACGATCGTCTCGGCCTTCCCCGTAGACTGTTTCCTCCGAATCCATCGTATGAGCGGGACGGCCGARGTGGGTTTCGGTTGTGCCAGCAAAGGTGGCCCGACGAAGTCCTCAAATTCCTGTGGGAAGTTTGCATGACCCAGGAGTATGTGGGTCCTAAACGGACAAGTATGATCCGAGTCGATCATCATCGAACACCTGTATTGTCACAACATCAGCTTGGACGCGGACGAACAGTTGAGAAACACATCAAGTCCGGTCAGGGACGTCCCTAGACCCATTTTTAGGGGTGATGGATGGGGCGAAAACTAAAGGTCTAAGCACAGTATTTATTTTGCATATACAGTAGTCACTCGATAATTCGAAAAATTCCATAAATCGAACTTAACGCCTATATAGTCCACTGAGAAAACCTCTATAATTAGAAGAACACACATGTATTCCGGACATCTCGATRACTCTATAATTCGAATTTCCTTAAACATAATGTACTAATGGATATTGAAATGTAGAAAGATTATGTACAATCTATTTGACGTACCTACTTGTAATGAAACTATAATAACGACGGCGATTAAAATATATTGTCGTACCTACTATTCGTACTTTACCTACCTAATYTAGACTTAAATTGTACAGTTTTACCAAAATAAACCTCTGAAATGGGTAAACAGTTATTGGAATTGGATAAAATTTATTCAGTCGGAATATGGGTTCCGTAAAGTATAAGTGTTTGTCGATCGCCGACAAAAA